CTGGGCTCCGGCGATCCTTCCGCCTCAGCCTTCCAAGTGGCTGGAACTACAGGCGCGCGCAACCACGCCCGGCTGATTTTTTGATTTATTGTAGAGATGAGGTCTTGCCAAGTTGTGCAGGCTGTTCTCAAACCCATGGGCTCAGACGATCCCCTCACCTCGGCCTCCCAAAGTGCTGGAATTACAGGCTTGAGCCACTGTGCCCGGCCTATTTTTTTGATTTTTTTTGTAGAGATGAGGTCTATGTTCCAGGCTGGTCTCAAATTCCTAGGCCCAAGTAATCCTCCTGCCTCAGCCTTCCAAAGTGTTGGGATTACAGGCATGAGCCACCATACTCGGCCTCTCATGTTTAATAACATTCATATAAATCATAACTTTAAGAAAACTGCCATGACTTTGCTTTCAGAAAAGTGTTGGTAAGAAAAGCAGAAAAGAAAAAAAACTTTTAAGATCTTAACTGAATTAAAAGACATAAGCAAGCCGAATTCACCTGATACCTGGGCCGGGCACTGGCTGCTCTTGGGTACACAGGGAGCTCTGGTGGCAGCCCCGGAATTCAGCATTGTCATGGTGGCCAGTGTCCAAGGACCTGGCTGTGGCATGTGCTTGTGTGTGCGAGGTGTCCCCTCCGGATATGCTTCTGCTGCCCTTGGCTGCCTGCCGCCCAGGCACTGCTCACCTTGGTCTTGATCTGCTTGGCCGTGTCGGTGAGGAAGATGGAGGAGTTGGGGTCACTGGCGCTCATCTTGGTCTGGGCGCCCTGCAGGGCGGGGAAGAAGGTGGAGTGCAGCAGGGCTGGCTTTGGATAACCAATCCTGGGGGCGACGTCCCTCGTCATTCTGAAGTAGGGGTCCTGTGGGGAGATGGGCTGTGAGGGTGGCTGGACATAGGCCAGCTTCTGACCAGGGGCAGCCCCCAAGAGCGTCTTCACAGAAGACTGAGCTCCAACCAGTTTGAAGAAACCAGCTGCCTCCTCCTCACACCTTCCAACGCCCCTTCCCCCATGGATGAGGATGCGGACCCGGCTGCCAACACTCCAGACTCTGAGAGCCCTTGTCCTGCCTCTGACCTGGTCGATGGCACACGGAATAAGGCACTGGACATCTGTCCTGTCCTGGAAGATCTGTGGGAAGGAGTTGCTGAAGGAGGGAGCGGCCTGGATGGCAGGAAAACTGATCTTCCCTGAAAGCGAGGAAAGCATTATTACCCATGAGACCAATCCCTGCTCTGGGCAACTAATAAAGGAATGGATAAAAGTAGGTTTTTCCCTATTGTAGAAGTAACAATCACTCAAGAAAATCTGAAAAATACAGAAAAGCAGAAAGAAAAAAATCTATAGCTCCAACATGTCTCATGTCATCTGTTTTCTTTATACATTTTGCTTTGTGCATTTTAGTTGTGATTATACTATATTTGGTTTTCCCTGTCTTTTTCACTTTGTAAGATTTCCCCACGTTGTTATTAAATATATTCTATCCCGCCAGTGGGTCACATGTTCCCTAATCACTTTCTAACCATTGGGCACTTAGGCTATTCCCATCTTTAATCACCGTAAGTTAGGATGAATACTTTTTTTTTTTTGAGTCAGAGTCTTACTCTGTTGCCCAGACCGGAGCGTAGTGGCCGCTTCCGGCCACTGCAGCCTCGACCTGCCGGACTCCAGGGATCCTTCCGCCTCAGCCTTTCAAGTAGCTGGAACTACAGGCGCATGCTACCACGCCCGGCTAGTTTTTGACTTATTGTAGAGATGAGGTCTTGCCAAGTTGCCCAGGTGGGTCTCGAACCCGCGGGCTCAGGCAATCCACTCACCTCAGCCTCCCAAGGCGCGGGATTACAGGCTGAGCCACTGAGCCTGCCAGGATGAATACTTTGATATACCAATCAGGTTTCAGTATTTTGGATGCCGTTGCTGTTACATGGTCATTAGCATTTGCTTAGACCAGTGACCGGAGGTACCACACCAGGTCCTCATAGGTGTCCCAGGCCCCGGGCACACAGCTGGCCCCACGTGCTCTGCTGCTGTGGAGGACAAACAGCTATGGAGGACATGCCGCTTGGAGGATATGCCACTGTGGCTCTGGCTCCCCGCAGGGTAAACTCTCCCCACAGAGCGCCCTGGAGGCACCCCTGAGAAGCTGTCTTGGGGGGCAGTTACAGCCAAGGCCCTAAAGGTCCGTAGGCCCGGCTGCCCCAAGTGAAGTGGAGGAGGGATCAGGAGGCCTAGCCTCGAGTCCCAGGAAGCTAAAAGCCTACAAGGCCAATGCAGCTGAAAGACACATGGACATTTATGGAGCATGCACGTGTGCACAGAGGAGGCACACCTGTGCTTTTCAGCTGGGGTCTGAGCCTTGGGGGAGAGGGCAGCTTGAGGACCTCCAGTCAAGCCCCTCGTCTACAGGTGAGAACTGAAACCTGGGAGACAAAGATGTGTAGGCTCCTGCGTGAGAGAGCAGGGACCCAGCTGTCCTCCTGTGCCAGCCCAGGCTCCCTCAAACTCCCGACATCGACTGGGGCCCCCAGAAATGTAGGCATGCCACAGTCATCTTTGTGTTTTCCTTTCTTTCTTTCTTCTTTCTTTTTTTTTCTTTTTGAGTTGGAGTCTTACTCTGTTGCCCAGGCTGGAGTGCAGTGACACACTCGGCCACTGCAGCCTCCAGCTCCTGGGTTCAGGCGATCCTTTCACCTTAGCCTTCCAAGTAGCTGGAACTACAGGCAGGTGCTACCATGCCTGCCTAATTTTTGAATTATTGTAGAGATGAGGTCTTGCCAAGTTGCCTGGGTGGGTCTTGATCCTGCGGGCTCAGGCAATCCACTCACCTCGGCCTCCCAGAGTGCTGGGATGACAGGCTGAGCCACTGAGCCCGGCCTCCATTCTTTCTTCTAAATTCTAAAATGAGTGACAGAGGGGACTGGCTTGTATCCTGAAGCAAAGCCTCACTCAGCCCAGAGAAGGGCTCAGTGCATGACACAAACTCTTTGTATTCCAGAGAAAGACCACGTCTGAACAGCCTATTTCTTTCTTTCTTTTTTTTTTTGAGTTGGTGTCTCACTCTGTCACCCAGGCTGTAGGACAGTGGCATGCTCCTGGCCACCGAAGCCTTGACCTGCTGGGCTCAGACAATCCTTTTGCCTCAGCCTTCCAAGTAGCTGGAACTATAGGCATGTGCCACCATGCCCAGCTGATTTTTTAAAAAATTTATTGTAGAGATGAGGCCTCGCCAAGTTGCCGAGGTTGGTCTCGAACCCGTAGGCTCAGGCAATCCTTTCACCTTGGCCTCCTAAAGCTGGGATTATAGGTGTGAGCCACCATGCCCAGCCAGGGTGGCCTATTTCAAGAGAAAATTGTAAATGCTGACATTTTGGAGACATTTCAGCCCCGGCGCTTGTCTCCTCCTGAGCTCTACTTCTTTCTGACGGCTGCGGGGAGAAGCCCGAGACAGCCATGGGCCCTTACCAATGCTGTCGCTGTCGGTGAAGCCAAAAATGCCCTTCACTTGGTTGAAGGTCACATGCTTCTGAATCTTCACCACATTCTTGTAGAAGCCTGGGCTCGCCCTGCAAAGACAATGGCAATCAAACTCCAAGCTTCAGGCTGGCCTTCTCCTGTGGGCAAAGTCACAGCTGGTGGGGACGTGGCGAGCAGCGGCTGCACAAAAGGACAGTGGGTGCTGTGCCCACCAGCAGTGCTGCCGGCTGGGGGGAGGAGCAGAGCCCAGGCACGTCTGTGCCGCGGTGCAAGCAGCTTAATCGGGTTCCTCTGTGGAATGCGATAAGAGCAGGAAACAAAGTGCCATGAAATGGTAACAGTGATGACACTATGTTCTCATCAGAGCGCACTTCACAGATGTGAACTGCTGTGACACACAGCCACTAAACCTGGGGCCAAGACCTAAACCCACATCTCTTTCCCTTCCTTCAAGGATGCCACGATGTCCCTGTGTCCACGTGGCAGAAACAAGAGAAGTGATTTAAAAAATCTAATATGTGAAACTAGAACATTGTTTTACTAGCTGGTAGAGAGGCTAGACTTCAACAGAGGGCATCTGTTGCTTTCAGTGTTTCTAAAACTACTTTTCAGCTTCAAGTATCTGTAAAAGGGAACATTCTGGGTGACGGGATGAGCAAGTCCTTTGCACTTCCTGCAGACCCGCCCCTCTGGTGCCCCTCACCGCCTTGGCCGGGTACCTGAGTACGAGATACCCAAGAAGGCCTGCTCAGAGCCTGGCCACACAGAGTGCAGCGAGATGGAGTCTCCCTCTCCCTGAGGAATCGCCTTGGGGCAATACCATGACTTAGGTGCTCGAGAAATACTTGTTGACCTAGATAGCATTCTTTTTCTGATGGCTGACCAAAGTTCTATTTTTCTTTTCTTTCTTTCTTTTTTTCTTTTTGAGTAGGTGTCTCACTCCGTTGCCCAGGCTAGAGTGTGGTGACACGCTCATGGCCACCGCAGCCTTCACTTGCTGGACTTGAACCTTCTGCTTCAGTCTTCTGAAGTCCTACTTTTGTAACACATGTCTTGGTATGTGAAATGTGAAGGATTTTCAGAATGAAATATTGTGGCCTATGAAATGGCTGACTTAAAAAACTAGACTGTGGGAACTGTATAACCAGTGAGTGTTTTCTCTATGAGAAAGTTACACTGAAAAGGAGAAAGATACTGTAACTCTGCAAGACTGACCATCTCAGAGAGCAGCCAGGGTATACAAGTACTTCTCTGTCACAGCTGAGAACGAAAACCTGAGATGCCACCATGCCATGGCTGATCCTGCATTTGAATTTCCGAAAATGTAATTATGAAGGCAGTGATTGAGTGTTTAAGATACTGCCATCATTTAATCCTTTCTATTTATATACACAGCTTTTTGCCTTCAAAATTACTGGTGAATAAAACCGATGAACCAGATCATAACATTTAACAAAAGAAGAAAAACACTGACCAGGCCTTCAGACCACGTCGGCTGTTTCAGACTTAGCTGTGGTCATGGTGACTCGATGTGTGCCACTATTTATTTAATGAAAAGCAGCCAGGTGTTTTCTCCTTACCCCATGTAGTCAAGGTCAGAGAATATGAAAGTCTTATTGATGTCAAAGCCACAGGCGATGATGTCCTTGGCATTCTCCACGGCATAGCCGTAGGCCTGGTCCAGGGTCAGATCCTTCCACAGGTACTTCTCGTCATCTGTCATCTGGATGACCAAGGGCACGTTGAACACATCCTGCAGCCATCTAGAGAAGCACAGGGAGGAGAGCTGACATCTTGCTTCCCCTGCAGAAGCATGCCATCATGCACCTGAAAACAGTTCCCACTTACAGTGTGTGTCACAACTTCTTTGCGTACAAAACCACATGATCCTATCATGACATAAATTTGCCTGTTGATGATGATAAGGGCCATTGATTGCCCATGAGAGCCCTGTCTGCCAGGCTAGCTATTTTTAAATTTTTTATTTTTTTGAGTTGGAGTCTTGCTCACAGACACTGCAACCTTGACCTGTTGGGCTCAGGTGATCTTTCCACCTCGGCCTCCCAAGTAGCTGGGACTACAGGTGCATGCCACCATGCCCGGCTAATATTTTTATTTTAATTTTTTTATTTTTTTTTGAGTTGGAGTCTCACTGTCGCCCAGACTGGAGTGCAGTGGCCGCTCCCGGCCACCGCAGCCTCGACCTGCTGGGCTCCAGCGATCCTTCCGCCTCAGCCATCCAAGTAGCTGGAACTACAGGCGCGCACTACCATGCCCGGCTAATTTTTTTTTATTGTAGAGATGAGGTCTTGCCAAGTTGCCCAGGTGGGTCTCGAACCCGCGGGCTCAGGCAATCCACTCATCTCAGCCTCCTAAAGTGCTGGGATTACAGGCTGAGCCACCGAGCCCGGCTTATTTTTATTTTTGAGTTGGCGTCTCACTCTGTCACCCAGATTGGAGTATAGTGGCATGCTCCCAGTTACTGCAGCCTCGACCTGCTAGGCTCTGACAATCCTTCTGCCTCAGTGTCCCGAGTAGCTGGGACTACAGGTGCATGCCACCATGCCCGGCTAATTTTTTGATTTTTTTTTTTTTTTTTTTTTTTTTGAGTTTGTGTCTCACTGTGTCGCCTAGACTGGAGTGCAGTGGCATGCTCCCAGTCACCACAGCCTCGACCTGTGGGGCTCCGGCGATCCTTCCGCCTCAGCCTTCCAAGTAGCTGGAACTACAGGCGTGTGCTACCACGCCTGGCTAATTTTTTTTGATTTATTGTAGAGACAAGTCTAACCAAGTTGCCCAGGTGGGTCTTGAACCCGCGGGCTCAGGCAAACCACTCGCCTTGGCCTCCCTAAGTGCCGGGATCCTTCCACAGGTACTTGGAAGGCCAAGTCCAGCCAATTTTTTGATTTATTGTGGAGACCAGGTCTTGCCAAGTTGCCCAGGCTGGTTTTAAGCCCCTAGGCTTAGGCAAAACTCTCACCTCTACCTCCCAAGGTGCTAGAATTACAGGCGTGAGCCACCGTGCTCGACCACTGTTTTATTGTGAAGCCTTATGATAATTCCACGAGGTAGGTGTATCACTGCTCTCATCTCGCAATGTGAAAGCCAGGCTCAGTAGCTGGCCGGTGGTTGCACGGACAGGAAGTGGGATGAGGGAAGAAACAGGCGTGGCTGCCTCCAAAGCATGCTCTTCCCGTCACTCCCTGCTCCTTCAAAGTGAACAGAAGCCCAGAGGGGCCGATTCTTGACACCTCAGCTGCTCAGCAAACATGAACCAGCACTGTCTTGTCGCTGCTGGACATGGTTTCTGAGCGAGAGCCTTGACTCTCCAGGAGAGGGAGACGAGCCATTTGCCGTGATGCTTACTTGGTGAAAATGAACGGGATGAGGTGGCCCAAGTGCATGGCTTCCGAAGAGGGGCCCCTGCCCGTGTACAGGTAGAATGGCTTCTTATTTTCATAGGCATCGAGAACTTGAGTCATGTCTCTAAAGGAAAAGGAGAAAAGGAAATTGTGGGATTTTATGAGAAAAACTTCAAGGTACTAATGCTCACTTGGAAATGAAAAATAAAGACAACATGGATCACAACCAGAGTTTGTTGTCTTTGTGCTTATGATATGAAAATCACAGGAAACTTCTCCTGAGATGGTCTTCCCTGTGAGCCACTGTTCTAAAAGGATTAGCCACGCAAGACCGTGTTTAAAAGACAGCTACGGCTGTTCAATCACTGGGACGCTTTTGGAATTCACATCTCAGTGCTGGCGACCATGTGCTTATGCACGTCCCTGGGGGGCACCAGGCCAACACCACACAACTCTTACTTAGAACTGCCCAACCCTGAGACTCTGGGGACCCAGAGCAGGAATACTGCAGAGTTCCATCTGCCTTGGCTCAGGGAAGAAAGTAAGGAACGTCCTCTGGGATTCAGAGGTGAAGTCTCCAGCTGGAGGTCTGGTTTGGGCCCCCTCAGCCAGGCTGGGACCAGGTATTTTCATCTTTGAGCAATCCTAGTCGTCCTCCTCCCCATCAGACTGGGATGTTCAGGTTACACATGAGGGTCCTCCTTGTTGGCTGTGCATACATCATTTGGCACCGGTTCCAGTCTTAGCTGCCTGTGCCGGACCTCCAGAGGTTAATTAGTGCATCTGAGATGATGGCTGGGAATCAGAAAGCTCTCTGAGAGATTCCAATGTTCAGCTGGGTGGGAAACCAATACTCCAGGACATGACTGTTCTTTATTTCTGGATAAAGAGTCTCAGAATAAAAGAGGAATGCTTATGCTTTCCAGAGGTTTGGGCAGGATAACAGTATTCTACAAGTGACTTCTTACGCTCCCAACACTAAGGGTCAATAGTTCATCTCCGGGCTAAAAAGATTGTGGGCATTCTGGCTTTGGGGTCTAGTGTTGACTTTTTCCCCATGAAATGACCACATAAGGCTTTTGAAATGAGGAAAGAAGGAGGCTAGGCATGGTGGCTCATGCCAGTAATCCCAGCACTTTGGGGGGCTGAGGTGGGCGGATCGCTTCAGCCCAGCCTGAGTAATATAGTGAGACCTCGTTTCTTTTTCTTTCTTTCTTTCTTTTTTGAGTTGGAGTCTCATTCTGTCGCCCAGGCTGGAATGGAGTGGCATGCTCACAGCCACTGTAGCCTTTCTTCCGCCTCAGCCTTCCAAGTAGCTGGAACTACAGGCGCGCGGTACCATGCCCGGCTATTTTTAAAAAATTTATTGTAGAGACAAGGTCTCACCAAGTTCCCAGGCTGGTCTTGAATCCCTGAGCTCAGCCTCCCAAACCTCGGCCTCCCAAGGTGCTGGGATTACAGGCTTGAGCCATCGCACCTGGCTGAGACCCCGTTTCTATAAAAAAATTAGCCGAGCGTGGTGGTGTGTGGCTGTAGTATCAGCTATTCAGGAGGCTGAGACAGGAGGATGGCTTGAGCCAAGGAGGTCAAAGCAGTGGTGAGCCTTGATGGTGCCACTGCATTCCAGCTTGGGGACAGAAAACCAAACCAAACCAAAAAACTGTTGAAATAAATGGAAATGGTCTGGGCACTGAATGATATTTTTAATTTTAATTTTTAATTTTTTTTTTGAGTTGGAGTCTCACTTTCTTGCCCAGGCTATAAGGTCATCATTAACCCAGTTTTATGAAAACCAGATAAAGATATTACAAGAAAAGAAAATTACACGCCAATATTCTCCCTAACACAGACACAAAAACTGTTAGCAATTTGCTTGTTTTTTTGAGTCTGGGTCTCACTCTGGCACCCAGGCTGGAGTGCAGCGACACGCTCATGGCCACCACAGCCTTGACCTGCTGGGCTCAGGTGATTCTTCTGCCTCAGCCTCCCAAGTAGCTGGAACTACAGGCACATGCTACCACACCTGCCTACTTTTTTTATTTATTGTAGAGACGAGGTCTCACCAAGTTGCCCAGGCTTGTCTCGAACCTTTGGACTCAGGCAATCCTTTTGCCTTGGCCTCCCAAAGAGCTGGGATTACAGGTGTGAGCCACTGTGCCCGGTTTGAATTATATTAATAAAACAAAAATAAGGAAATAATAAAATCTTAATTTTGGAAGAAAAGAGCCCTTCTGTTTTCCCAACTAAACAAATTAAACTTTTTTTGGCTAATGGAAGAGAAAAAAATGCAGCTGTCCCATGAACTACTTGTCATCTATTTATAGATAGAATCTGAGAACTCACTGTGCACTTGTCCTGGGTGAGGTGCTGCAATTCTGAGCTCATGCTGGATAAGAATGGCTTCCTAGCTGGGCTCGGTGGCTCAGACTGTAATCCCGCACCTTTGGGAGGCTGAGGTGAGTGGATTGCCTGAGCCCGCACGTTTGAGACCCGCCTGGGCAGCGAGACCTCATCTCTACAATAAATCAAAAATCAGCCGGGCATGGTAGTGCATGCCTGTAATTCTGGCTACTTGGAAGGCTGAGGCGGAAGGATCGCCGGAGCCCAGCAGGTCGAGGCTGCTGTGGACGGGAGTGGCTACTGCACTCCAGTCTGGGCGACAGAGTGAGACTCCAACTCAAAAAAAAAAGAATGGCTTCCAGCAGGGAATCATTCAGCTAGTGAGGGAACCCAGTCACCTGTCCAGCATTTGAAGCCTGACAGTGCATGGCAGATTTCATTTAATCCCCAATTTTACACATTATAAAATGAGATAGAGAAGCATTCTCAAATTTGAAAATGAGCAAAGCCTCAAGTACTATGCTTCCCTATGTAAGAGGCTACTAGATTACTAAAGTAAATAAATAAATTACAAGAGCAGCGAGAACTGTAAAATGCTAAGATAACATATTTGATTTAAAAATCAAAATTGGTAAATCTTGAGCTAAAATGATGAAGGCGGGGTGGGGGGGGATGGGTAGAGACAAGATAAGATTCAAATGATCAGCTGGGCACGGTGGCTCAAGCCTATAATTCCAGCACTTTGGGAAGCTGAGGTGAGAGTACTGCCTGAGACCAGGGGTTCGAGACCAGTCTGGGCTACTTGGTGAGATGTTGTAAATAAAAAAATTAGCCGGGCTTGGTGGAATGTGCCTGTTGTCCCAGTTACTTGGGAGGCTGAGGCGCAAGGATCACCTGAGCCCAGCAGGTCGAGGCTACGGTGGCTATGAACATACCAGTGTACTCCAGCCTGGGTGGCAGAGTGAGACTTTGAGTCAAAAAAAAAAAAAAAAAAAAAAAAAATATGTATATATATATATATATAAAAACCTTAAAAAAAAAAAGACGCAAATGATCAAATCAGGAATGTAAGAAGGAATATTGCTACTGACCTTACAGGAATAAAAGGGATTATTGCATAAGGGAACACTAAGAACTATACACCAACAAATTAGATTACCGAGGAAATAGACAAATTCCTAGAGAAGAACGAACTACTGAAATTCTGAACAAACTACTGAAGAGGAAACAGAAAATCTGGACAGATCAATAACAAGCAGAAAGACTGAATTAGTAATCAAAAAACTTCCCACAAAGAAAAGCCCCAAACCAGATGTTTTTGCTGGTGAATTCTATCCAATGTTTAAAACAGGATTAACACCAATCCTTCACAAGTTCTTCCAAAAAATTTGAATAGGAAATACTTCCCAACTCATTCTATGAGGCTCTATAACCCTGATACCAAAACCAGACAGACATTAAAAAAAACCCAACAGACCAATAGCCCTTATGAATACAGATGCAAAAATCCTCAGGGCAGTGGTAGGGTGGGTAGGGGAAAGCCTCAACAAATCCAGCATCATGTAGAAAGGACCATATGCCATGATTGAAAAGGAACAGATTTTCAACACCATGATCAAGTGGAATTTGTCCCAGGAAGGCAAGGTTGATTCAATATACAAAAATCTATCTGGCCAGGTGCAGTGGCATGCGCTTATAGTTCTAGCTACTTGGAGGGCTGAGGTGGAAGGATTGCCTGAACCCAGAAAGTGAAGGCTGTGGTGGCTGTGAGTGTGCCACTGCACTCCAGCATGGGTGACAAGAGTGAGACTCCAACTCAAAAAAAAAAAAAACAAAAAAAAAACAAATCCATCAATGTGATATATCATATTAATAGAATGTAGGACAAAATTCACGTGATTACTTCAGCAACACAAGAAAAGTATTTGACAAAATCTAACATCCTTTCATAATATAAACACTCAGCAAACTAAGAATAGAAGGAAACTGCCTTGATGAAGGTATTTATAGAAAACCCACAGCGAATATTATACTCAATGGTGAAAGACTGAAAGCGTTTCCCCTCAGATCAGGAATAAGACAAAGATGCCTGCTTTCACCACTACTACTCAATATTGTGCTGAAATTTCCAGCCAGAGCAATTAGGAAAGAAAAAACAGCCAAACTGGAAAAGAAAAAATAAAAGTGTCTCCATTTATAGGTGACATAATCCTACATATAAAAAATACTATAGAATCCACAGAAAAAGAAAAAAACCAACAGAGATGACATATGCATTCAGCAAAGCTTTAGGATATAAGCTTGAAACACGAAAATCGGTTGTATTTCTGTATAGTAATGAACAGTCGGAAAATGAAATTAAGAAAATGCCATTTACAACAGCATCAAAAAGATAAAATCCTCTGGGTGTGGTGGCTCACGCCTGTAATCCCAGCACTCTGTGAGGCAGAGATAGGAGAACCACTTGTGCCCAGGAGTTCGGGACCAGCCTAGGTAACATAGTGAGACTTTATCTCCACTAAAAAAAAAAAAAAAAAAAAAAAAAAAAAAAAAGCTAAAATTCTTAGGAACGAATCTAATCGAAGGAGTACAAGATTTACACATTGAAAAGTATAAAATATCACTGAATCACTGAAAGAAACTTAAACAGTGAAAGGACATCCCATGTTTGTGGACTGGAAGACTTACAGTTTTAAGATGACAATATTCTCCAAACTAATTTACAGATTCTGTGTAATCCCTAACAAAATCTCTGCTGTCATTTTTTGCAGAAATAGAAAAGTTGATCTGGAAATTCATATGGGAAATGCAAGAGACCCCAAATACCTGAACAATTTTGAAAAAGAAAAACAAAGTTTGAGGACTCACATTTTCTAACTTCAGAACTTACTCCAAAGCTATAGTAATGAAGACTGCAGTGCCAGCATAAGGACAGATATCAGTGGAACAGAACTGAGAGTCTAAGATTAAGCCCTTAAATATATGGACTATTGCTTTTCAACAAGGATGCCAAAAAAATTCAATAGGGAAAGAACAGTCTTTTCAAAAAAGGGTGTGGGAACAACTGGACATCCACGTGCAAAAGAAAGGAGTTGGAGACTTACCTAGCACACATGTAGAAATGAACTCAAAAAGGAACAGAGATTGGAATGTAAGAGCTAAAACCACAACACTTAGAAGAAACCATAGGTGTAAATCTTCACAACCTTCGATTAGGCAGTGGTTTTTTAGTTATGACACCAAAAGCCCAAATAATCAAAGAAGAAGTAAACTGGACTTTATCAAAATTAAAAACTTTTGTACTTCAAAGGATGCTATCAGTAAAGTGAAAAGACAACCTATATAATGGGAGCAAATATTTGCAAGTGATATCACTTATATTTGATGTGGTATCCAGAATATACAAAGAACTACTATAATTAAAAGCAGACAAAGGATCTGAATAGACATTTCTCCAAAGAAGACACAAAGATGGCCAATAAGCACATGAGAAGATGCTTAGTGACACTGGCCGTTAGGGAAGCACAAATCAAAGCCACCAAGAGCTAGCACTTCACAACCACTAGGATGGCTGTATAACAGCAGGAGCAGCAACAGGAAAGATAGTAAGTGTTGGTGAGGATGGGAGACACTGGAACCCTCGTGTATTGCTGGTGGGAATGCAAAATGGTAGTCACTGTGAACAAGTCTGTCAGTTCCTCAAAAAGTTAAACACAGAATTACCATATGAGCCATTTATTCCACTCCCAGGTATATACCCGAGAGAACGGAAAACTTGTACACAAATGGCTAGCACTGTTTGAGAACCCAAGAGTGAAAAATCACCCAAATGTCCATCAACTAAGGAATGGACAAACAAAATGTGGGGTATATCCATTCAATGGAATGTTATTTGGCAGTAAACAGGAATCAAGTACGATACATGCCACAACATGGAGGAATGTTGAAAACGCTATGCTAAGTAAAAGAAGCCAGACATAAAAGGCCACACATTGTATGATCCCATTTGTAAAAAAGCACAAATCTACAGAGACGGGCAGATTAGTGATTGTTATGGGGGGGAGAGAAATGGGCAACAACTATTCATGGGTTTGGATTTCTTTTTAGGGCAATGGAAGTGTTCTGGAATTAGCTAGTCATGACCTTGTGGATATACTGAAACCCTCTAATGATATAGTTTTAAAAAGTGGGCTGGGGATGGTGGCTTACACCTGTAATCCCAGCACTTTGGGAGGCAGAGGCAAGAGGACTACCTGAGCCCACGGGTTCGAGACCAGCCTGGGCAACTTGGTGAGATCTCATCTGTACAATAAATCAAAACAATCAGCAAGGCGTGGTGGTACATGCCCGTAGTTCCAACTACTTGGAAGGCTGAAGCGGAAGGATCATTTGAGCCCAGCAGGTCAAGGCTGCGGTGGCTGTGAGAGTGCCACTGCACTCCAGCCTGGGTGACAGTGAGACTCTGATTCAAAAACAAACAAACAAATAAAAAAGTGAGCTTTATGATGTGTGAATTAAGGAAAACATTTTGATTATATCTGCCCAGAAAATGGATTGAGCAGGACCTGGAGTTCTTTGCAGGTATAATTTGAAGCGCTTCTGGCAGACTGCTGAGTCCTGTCCTGGGGGTGCTCTTCCGTGACCGTGACCGTGATGTGCCAGTAGAACAGAACAACCCCACCTCAGATCATAAATTCCAGGGACACGGCTTTAAAAATGGGCCTGTCCCACCCCACGGGCGAACTGCTGTTTCTTGATGTTATCCACATGGAATTTATGATCTGCGGTAGGAATACTCTGTTCTATGCACCCTCTGTTAGTTTCTCTTTTGATCTTACTTACGAGTAGGCCGGTACAATTGGAGGAACAATGCACGTCATTTCAGGAAGCCTGCAGCTTATCGCGTGGGAAATGCTGAACGTGGACATACCAATCTCTTTTGTTCTAGTGACAATTTATGATTTATATACAGCGGTAATCTGGCAAGGATCTCATCGGTTAGAGACTCGATTCCCACCTGGGGAGGTGGGCAGTTTATAAGTGAAGAAGGGCAGGAAGGTGAATGGATGAGCATGACCCCCAGTGAGTTACAATAGGACAGAGGAGGGGCCCCAGTGCTCTGACAGCTGGCTGTATGGACAGTCCAGATATCGCCCCAGGCTGCTTAAGGGGCAGCTGGCCTGTAATTTTCTGAACTAAAGGAAGAGGACGGGTGAGTAGGCCAACCTGTGAGAGAAGAAGATGCCTCTGCGCAGGAAGTGGTGTGGTTTCTGGCCGATGGCTCTTTCTATGCGGTTGATCAGCTCTTTATCAATTTTACTGCTTCCGAATCGGACTGGAAACAAAATTGAAAAAAAGAAGAGATGATTTAGGTGGCAGGAGGCTTTGTGATTAGATGTTACTGAAACAAGGGGAACAACTGGTGATTCAGCACAATCATAATGAAGACTTCTGCTATAGGCCCCTACTTCCAACATGAAGTCTTATATTAAAATGACCACTGAGAACACAACCAGCCAAACAGGAAATATATTACACAACAAAAAATTTGGCCTACAATTGGGATCTGATGGGAAAAATATCCAGAATGCAGTCTAGCTAGTAACTTTTAACAATCAAATATAAACATATATACATACATACATGTATATGTATATATAGCTGTTTATTAACTCATTTGTGATCACTGATGTGAATTCACGTCATTCCAAATTCTGATGCTGGTCGCCGCTGACATGAATTCACATCTTTGTAAATTCTGTTTCTGAATACTGCAATGTTGTCATATATATGTGTTATAATTTGCTTGAACATGAATAGTGAGGCAAGGAGAAAGTTAATTGAAATCATTAACTGATATTATCTGATGTTGACTGTGCAATGTTGTTACTGACTTATGTAGTTGGTAAAAATTGCAAGTCGGTCATTATTTTGTTGCGATTAGTGTTGTATGACTGCGTTTTGATACTTCAGAGCTTTCACACTTTAACACTAAAAATAATTTACCATTATTATGGAAAATGAAGAAATAAATGCTGATGAGATTTTCGAGGTCGAAGGTGAAGCCAACAAACTTATTAGTGACAGACAGTGATGTAATGATGCAATATAAATGAAGAAATATATATATGTATATATATACATATTATTCAGTTTATAATCTGACTAAAAATACAAAGTATGGAATGCTAGTCAGAGTGATGTCTGAGGCAAATACTGGATGTGCCTACAACTTTCAGCTGTATTGTGAAAAGGTGACAATTTAGAAAAGACCATTTCACTTGTGCTTCACGACAGAAGTTTGCGGCAACCTGCTCTCAATAATAGGAAAGTGAAAAATTTGCTGACTGCGAATGTGTTAAGGTAAAACCTGTATTCATTGACAATCAATCATGATCTCTCATTCTTTATTTGCTGAACTGGATTAATGTCTGTCCTCAAGTGAACTTTCCCTCATTGACAGTCTATACTTAAATCATGGAAAATGGCTTTGACCTAGATGAAAGCATTTTAGTTACATTTCTTCTTTCACAATCAGCAATGACCTCAGAGTACGGACTTCTCAAGTGAACAGCATCAGTCTTTCCTGAACTGGAGCATCAAGGAAGGGCCTGACAGGGAGGACTTTCCTCCTCTGAGGAGCCACCCTTCTTAAGCTGACCTCCACCCTTCTAGCTCCATGATCAGTATCATTAGGCGTGAAACTGAAGTAATCAATGATTGACTTGCAAGCGCTCTATGGTTTAAATGACTGCCAAGATGCCCATTTTAATAGACCTTTCCCAAGTTCCAAATTGCTCCAAAAAGGGGAAAAAATTTACTAAGCTGTCTACTATAAATTATTATTTAAAAATAAGTTTTATAGTTATTGTATTTAAAAATAATCCTTTGGGATTATAATGCACAACCACAAGATTTTAGGATCTGTTTTTTTCTTGACATTGACGTGTCACTGGATTTGTGATCGATTCAAAATTTAAAGACATCCATGGAATTGACTCAGTGTAATCACTTCTAGAAGCTGAGGCTCTTGCAAGGTAAGAAGCAGAAGACGCACCAATGAGCTTGTCGTAGTCGATGCCCTTCGCATTGCTTGTCTGTACTGTCCATGGGTCCACAAAATCCTCTTCGGCTTCTGTGGCTTCTGGGCCATGATTGCTCCCAGGCGCTGGGTTCCCTGGAGGGCAGTCAGCCTTGCAGTTCTCTCCCACAGCAGCTCTGCAGCTCATTTTTACTGCAGGATCAATTCCATCCTGCAGAAAGGAAAGAAAGAGGAAGGCTAAAGACAGGAACAACAGCTAATGCTTGCTGCATGCCTGTTACACGGCAGGCGTTGTGCTAAACACCCGCACACACAATACCTCGCTCAGTGTCACAATAGCCCTCTGGGGCAGGTGGCACTGTCATTGTCCCCTTCCCGCCGAAGAATCTGAGACTCAGAGAACAGAAGGAGCCTGCCCACGGAACCACAGCAATTCATGGGCTAGAAAGTGTTTCATTTGTGTCTGTTATTCTAGTGCTATGGATTGCTGCCACAAACACTTTGGGACAATAGTAGTGACACAATACACACTGTCATTTATAACAAAGTCAATATGCTTCAGATTTCTCAAACACACTGATGCCAGAGAACATGTGTGACAAGCTCCCTTAATCAAGTACACCGAGTTCTGTTTGGAACTCGTTTCCACACTCCACACAGGTTGAGGTGAATATTTATGGAAACTTACCAGCGATACCACCGAGGATAGTAAACAGCAACTCACACAAAACAAGCAAGGAAATAAAAAGGAGGCTCTCAGGTTATAAATCAAGGAGGGATCCACTGAGTTGTACCCCCACAGCTTGGAGTCTTATCATACTATCTGAAGTGTTTATAAACATAAGGAAAACAAATGAAAAGTGTATCCTTGGGTACTTTGGAAATCTATTAAAGACCTTTTCTTCCAGGAGCCCACAGTGGCCACCGCTGGAAGCCTGGTGTTTAAAAGAGCAGGCCTAATTAAGCCAATTAGTCATGCTATGCCCTAAAGCTCTGCTGGTAATTGGCCTTGCTGGATTAGATCACAAACAAAGAATATACACAGTCTAATTTGCTTGCCAAGGGAAATACAAACATTTCCACTTAGAGTTTATACAGAATGTTCTATAAACTGGGCTTTCCAGTGAAGAACTGCCAAAAACTCCAGCCTTCATTCAAAGAGAATGGTGCCATCAGGTACAGCATGTGGGCTACAGAGGACTGTCATGCTAGGGTGACCTGTTTCAAGCTATCTGGAATTCATCATTACAATGCATCAGATTTGTGGAATCAATAACCCAGTGGCTACAACTCATGTAAGAGACAAGATGTTTGTTCAGGTTACGTATGTTTTACTTATCTCATTTCTGAAGTGTCTGGGTTCAGTGTTTACAAAAAATAAATGTTTAGTAAGTAAAACCTATCGAATCATCTATGGGAAGATGGACTTGCTTTGCTTAGCAGTACACTGCAGTCAATATCCCTTAATCACTAGCTGTGTTGACATTTCATACTCTATCTGGTCTAATTCTACTTGTAACTAGGAGGCTCTTTGAAAGCCAAACATTTAACCAATGTCCCTATGTGCAAGGACCATCTGCAGTCTGGAATGGGACTGAAATAGACAAGCAGGCTCACTTTGTCTATTTTCTTATTCTCTATCTAACATGGAACAGGACACTGAAAGTGAATTTAAAAGTTGGACACACAGAAAAAGCCAGACACCAAAGACTCTCTACTACTTGATTATATAAAGTTCAAACACAGGTAGAATTCCCCGAGGTGGCAGAAGACAGGGCAGAGGCTGAAAGTTGTGAGGGTGGCTCTATGGGAGCGAGGAGCCAGGAACCGTGGATGAAAACCGATTTTTTTCTTTTCTTTTTTTTTTTGAGTTGAAGTCTCACTCTGTTGCCCAGACTGGAGTGCAGTGGCACGCTCCTGGCCACCGCAGCCTCGACCTGCTGGGCTCCAGCGATCCTTCTGCCTCAGTCTTCCAAGTAGCTGGAACTACAGGTGTGCACTACCATGCCCGGCTAATTTTTTTGATTTATTGTAGAGATGAGGTCTCGCCAAGTTGCCCAGGCAGATCTTGAACCTGCAGGTTCAGGCAATTCACTCACCCCGGCCTCCAAAAGCGTAGGATTACAGGCTGAGCCACCGAGCCTGGCAAAAACCGATGTTTTGTGAAAATTCAGTGAGCTGCCTGCTTAGAATCAGTATATTTTTCTGAGTAGTATATTTCAATTAAAAAAGTTTACTTAAACTAAAAGAAAAAAAAAAGGCTCTGCCCTCTGTCTTAACACCTAAGATCCAGTGTCATTTCTTCAGTCCTGTTCAAACTATTTCCACTCACAGGCCCCAGATTCTGACCTGTCTCCCCAGGAGACATCCCACTTTAGTGAGCTGCTGTTACTGAAATATGTGGGGATCTTATTCTTTAAACACTGGAGCAGAAGCCAGGTGTAGTGGCTCACACCTGTAATCCCAGCACTTTGGGAGGCTGAGGGGAGAGGATTGCCTTTCAAGCCCATGGGTTTGAGATCAACCTGGGCAACATGATGAGACTTCGTCTCCAAAAAAAAGTTGGCTGGACATGGTGGTGCATGCCTGTGGTTTCAGCTACTTGGAAGGCTGAGGTGGAAGGATCACCTGAGCCCACCAGGTCGAGGCTGCAGTAGCTGTGAATGTGCCACTGCACCCCAGCCTGGACGACAAAGTAAGACTCCAACTAAAAAAAACCCCAAAAAATAAAACAAAAAAACTACACACACAAAAGATAACTGGAGCATAAAAGGACCTTGAGGCCCATGGCCCGAATAAATGGGAGGCTGAGAAAGAGAGGGCAGGGCCTCTTAGAGCATGGGCATTTCCAGTGTGGCTCAACTATTTTGCAAGAGGTTAATTTCTGAAACATTAAGTGCTTCTATTACTTACACATTTCAGGGTCAGATACAAATTTACTTCTGAACTTCACCACTTAACTCTGGTCTCATCATGTAACCTCTGACCTTTCTAGTGTGTGTTAGGCAACCACATTTGTCAAAGAATACACTTGGAAAAGTTACTCTAAACTGTATTAAGTATTGCTCATTGGCTAGAATAATGAACATAACTGCAAGAATTATTAACTAAAGACATTTACTATGTGCTATACACACTTTATGCTAAATAAACAAAAATACTACTGTCAACTTCCCAAAATGGGCTTATTTACTCTATAATAGTAAATACAGAGGGTAAGGACCCTCTATTTTATTTATTTATCTATTTTAGAATTTTGTTGTTTAGTCAGGGTCTCACTCTGTTGCCCAGCTGGAGTGCAGTGGCACAGCCACAGATCACTGCAGCCTCCAACTCTGGGACTCAAGTGATCCTCCTGTGTCAGCCTCCCAAGTAGCAGGGACTACAGATATGTGCCATCATATCCAACTAATTTTTTGTAGAGATGAGGTCTTGCTGTGTTGCCCAGGCTGGTCTCCAGCAGTCCCCACCTCCGCCTCCCAAAGTACTGGGATTACAAATATGAACCACTGTGCCTGGCCAGATTTTTGTTTTAAAACAACTTAGTCTAAGCTTTTGAGTCTTACTTGGTCAGTAAGCCTCTTTCAAACTGTCTCCTTCACAGCTCCCAACCAACTTCTTTTTTTGACATTACTGTCCTTCAGTATTATTTATTTTCTTTAACATATGACCCGAGCATGATGGTTCGTTCCTGTAATCCCAGCAACTTGGGAGGTTGAAGTGGGAGGATGGATTGATGTCAGGAGTTTGAGACCAGCCTGGGCAACATAATGAGACCGTGTATCTAAAAACATGTGTTAAGAAAAAAAATGAGCTGAGTGAGGTGGTGTGCACCTGTAGTTCTAGTTACTCAGGAGGGTGAGGTGGGAGGATAGTTTGAGTTCAAGAGTTTGAGGCTGATTATGCCACTGCACTCTAGCCTAGGTGACAGAATCATATGTTGTCTCTAAAGAAGTAAAAAATAAAATGAAAGGGGAAACTTCAGGGCGCACATGAGCTCTTGGAAGTTAAAAATGATAGGAGAAATGATAAACAATAGGAGGATTAGAAGTCGAGGAAGTGTCCCTAAAAGAACAAAAAGAAAAAGAAATGGAAGTAGAAGTCAAAACATAAGAAAACCAAAGGAATAGTCTCTGAATGAAAAAGAGTCTGCAAAGAAGAGAGAAAATAGAAGAGATCAAAGAAATAATATGAAAAGAATATGATTTCTGAGAATTAAAGGTCATGGGTTTCTAGTTTGAAAAGGCACTGGGCTGGATGCAGTGGCTCATGCTTGTAATCCCAGCATCTTGGGAGGCTGAGATGGGAGGATTGCAAGAGCCCAGAAGTTTGAGACCAGCCTGGGCAACAAAGTGAAACCCCATCTCTACAAAAAATAAAATAGAAAAATTAGCTGGGTGTGGTAGCACGTGCCTATAGTCCTAGCTACTCGGGAGGCTGAAGTGGGAAGATCGCTGGAGTCCAGGAGCTTGAGGCTGCAGCGAGTGATGATCATACCACTGCACTCCAGCTTGGGTGACAGAGCAAGACTCTGTCTCTAAAACAAACAAACGGAACACTGAGCCCCCATTCCAGGAAGTTTCAAAACAATGGAACAAAGACAAGATCCTGCCAAATGTCAGAGAGAAAAAAACAAAGGAATGACATCTGACTTCTCTGTGGCAACCCCAGAAGTCAGGTGATCAATGGCTTCAGAATTCCGAGAGAAAATGCTAGAACCCTACATCCAGCCTCGTTATCAATCAAGTTTTAGTCAAAATAAATATTCTTTCAAACATGAAATATTTCCTTTGCACTATTTCCCCACCCAGAAATCACTGAAAGACTTGCGCTGCCAAATAGTACAGCAAGGAGGAATAAGACTCAGGGTCAGGGAATGGGGACCCAACAGACAAAGGTGGAGGGGACTCCTGGGCTGAGAGTGAAAAGAGACCCAGGATAGGCAATGTGGGAGGTGAGAGTCACTAGTCCTGAGGGAAGCAGGCAGGTTCTGGGAGAGACGGCAAGAAGGCGAACTTGACACACTCGCTAACGGAACGTGCGTGTTGAGAGGCGATCCGTCCAGCAGGGAGGCGGCTTGGAGATGCATTATCATTAGTACACGAGAAAGCCAAGCAAACACAAGTCAAGACAAATATTAACTCCAGAGAAAACAAAAGCTGGGTAGGAAAGGAGAAGTACTCATCTTCCCCTCAGTAGTTCAGCTGTCTATGGTGTTTACACAGTCAAGACCACAGTCAAGACCACGCCAATACAAATCCTGCCCTAACTATAGCTGCGATACTCCTGGGGACTGGAGGGGCGGGGTGGTTATGAGAGTGCAAATTCCTCTTCCATGTGAAAGCCCCCAACAGGAGCATCAGCTAAAAGAATGGAAAGTATCTGTGTCTGGGAGCAAGTGGGGGAGGCAAAGGCAGCGGGAGGGCTGCTGCATCTCACTGAGGCTTTAAGAACCACTGACTCAGCTGGGCTCTGTGGCTCAGCCTGTCATCCCGCGCCTTGGGAGGCTGAGGTGAGTGGACTGCCTGAGCCTGCGGGTTCGAGACCCTCCTGGGCAACTTGGCGAGACCTCATCTCTACAATAAGTCAAAAATCAGCCGGGCGTGGTAGCGCATGCCTGTAATTCCAGCTACTCGGAAGGCTGAGGTGGAAGGATCGCCGGAGCCCAGCAGGTCGATGCTGCGGTGGCCGGGAGCAGCCACTGCACTCCAGTCTGGGTGACGGAATGAGACTCCAACACAAAAAAAAAAAAAGGACCACTGACTCTTTGGCCCACAGGTATCAACATGTTGATCAAGGGGAAAAATCATTTAAAATGATAAGCGGCCCAGACATGGTGGCTCAGCTTGTAATTCCAGCATTTAGGGAGGCTGAGGTGAGAGGATTGCCTGAGCCCGGGGATTCGAGACCAGCCTGGACAAGTTGGTGAGACCTCGTCTCTACAATAAATGAAAAAATTAGCTGGACATGGTAGCACATGCCTGTAGTTCCAGCTACTTGGAAGGTTGAGGTGGAAGGATCACCTAAGCCCAGTAGGTTGAGGCTGCCGTGGCTGTGAGCGTGTCACTGCACTCCAGTCTGGGCAACAGAGTAAGATTCCAACTAAAAAAAAACCCAAAAAACAAAAACAAAAGATAAGAAAAGAACCTGGGAACAGTCTGCCCCAGAGAGACACACCCTACAGACTCTGGCACCTGCACGGAGAACCCAAGATCACGCACCTGTGCCACGTTCCTGTTCTTGAGGACACTCACATCTGCCATCTCTGGTGACCCCGGTTCACAGCCGGCTAGGGGTCAGAGCTAGAGGCCAAGGCAAGACTGTGGGGGGAAAAGAAAGAAAGAGAGAGATGAGCAAACCATCACAGCCACTTGTCCCTTCCGTATCTAGTCCTTCTTTCTGAAAAGGTTGGGAAGGGAGTTTCAGTGGAGGACATGGACAACAGGGCACTAGTCAAACAGAAGCAGTCATCTGGGGCCATGGGAAAGAGAACAAATGCCAGCGTGAAGACTAAAGGCATCACTGTGACTCATGCCTTGGGGTCTGAGAGGAGGAGCCTTCCGAGTCAAGACCAAGTTTGCATCTGGTGACACCCTTGTGCCTTACCTGGTGCCTAGAACACAGGAGGGCGTGCTAGCTGAGAGAATAAATACCATGTGTTTTGGTAAACCTAAATTCACTAGTGCTACAACCTTTTGGCAAATTGCTATTTGCTCCTCTTTTTCTTTGAGTTGGAGTCTCACTCTGTTGCAGTGGCATGATCACAGCTCATAGCAGTCTCGACTGTCTGTGCTCAGGTGATCCTTCTGCCTCAGCCTCCTAAGTAGCTGTGACTACAGGTGCATGCCACCACACGAGGCTAATTTTTAAATTTTTTATAGAGGTAAGGTCTTGCTATGTTGCCCAGGCTGGTCTCAGACTATTGGGCTTAAGCAATCCTCCCACCTGGGCCTCCCAAAGTGTTAGGATTATAGGCTGAGCCACCACACCTGGCTGCTCTTTATCTTAACTGCCACAGGGATGAATTCTCAGGCCTTTGCAGCTATAACCAACATGTCGCTGAGCCCATGGCTTCTGCAGCTGGCCAGCTGCTCTATTCTCAGCTAAAGCAGGCTCTGGGGTGGGGGACAGGGCCCCACCTGTCCTGTGTTCCAAAAGGGGTAAGTTCTGCCTACAGCCTGTACATGCCACATGCCTCTTTAACTGCAAACTCTGCTGTGAGCATGCCTGCACCTTCTATGAGTCCTTATGCACTGCTAACCTTGGGAAAGGGAGGGCCCAGGGCAGGCAGAGGCTGGGCTACTACCCCTCTTGGTCAGCCACTTCTCTTTTGGAGTATCAGTTTCCTTATCTATAAAATAGTGCCACCAGGAAACTCTTCACCTACCCCAGGGGCGGTTATGAGAACAAAATGAGAAAAACTGACGCGGTGGCACTTTGTAGACTGTAATCCTCCCACCTGGGCCTCCCAAAGATGTGAATACACGGTGAGTATTATGACACTTGCTTTGTTTGTTAGGGTTCCAGAGCTGGGTGAACTCCAGCTTCACCTCACCTAGCTGCAACACCTGGGAGGAGCAGGAGGATGACGATGACAATGAGGAGGAGGAGGCTAAGGCCAGAGCAGCTAACTTGGAATACTTGTGTCCCTGGTATTGTGTCCTCATACACACCAATTCACTTAAGCCTCCCTGCAATTCCGAGACAGATCTTGTTGTTTCCACTTCATAGATGAGGCACATAGGGTAAAAATCTCACCCAAGATAAGAGAGATGGGCTACAGACTCAAGCAGTTTCCCTCCAGAGTCTACACTCCAGCCACCCCCTCATAAATGACTCTATATATTCTCGTTACTTGAAAGGCTGAGTGAGGCAGGAGGATCTCCTGAGACCAGCAGGACAGGGCTGTGATGGCCGTGAGCAGTGTGCCACTGCACTCCAGCCTGGGTGACAGAGTGAGACGCCAACTCCAAAATAAATAAATAAATAACGACTCTAAAAGCCAAATACACATTTGTAGTGTAATCTATTTTTATTTATCTATGTGTTAAATATTTGTTTAAAAGTAAGTACATTTTAGCTGGGCTTGGTGGCTCAGCCTGTAATCCTGCGTCTTTGGGAGGCTGAGGTGAGTGGATTGCCTGAGCCTGCGGGTTCGAGACCCGCCTGGGCAACCTGGTGAGACCTCATCTCTACAATAAATAAAAAAAATTAGGTGGGCATGGTAGCGCGCGCCTGTAATTCCGGCTACTCGGAAGGCTGAGGCGAAAGGATCGCTGGAGCCCAGCAGGTCGAGGCTGCGGTAGCCGGGAGCGGCCACTGCCCTCCAGTCTGGGCAACAGAGTGAGACTCCAACTCAATAAAATAAAATAAAATGAAATAAAAGTAAGTACATTTTAACTAAACCAGCCTGTATATAAATAAATAGAACTGTAATTCTGAAACCAAGATGGGGCCACAGTCAGTTTCTCGCCCGCCCTGATGAGAAGCACTGATTCCCAGAAGGGGAAGTAGCTCATATAAGGCACCCACCCAGCTGGGGGCCTCTGACAGGGGAGGAATGCGGAAGCACCTTCTGCCCAGTGCTGGGGAGAAGACACAACCAGGTTCCCTAGCAACGAGCTGTCACTGGTTTCTCAGGGGCGGGGTGGGGGGGACATTTCCTTGCTCTTATTAAATACAATCCAATCAGTGAAAATTACTTCTAGCCACACATAACCAAACATAATGCCCACACACTTTGCTCCTGCATTCTTCTCATTCTCATCACTGGGGGTCACTGCATATACTATATTCCCAGACAGAGGCGGATGGCTCAGAGTTAGAACCACCCTTGAGGGTACTGGGGAGCAGTGAAGCCCGGATCCGATACCACAGGTGCTCTTGGTCACGTGCTCTCTCCGAATCCCATCCTCCTTGGTCTGGACACTGCTGAGGACCGTTCTCACTGGAACCTCAATCCTGACCCCTGTGCCTCCGGGCCAAGTGGGTGGTTTTATCAGAGCACTCCCGCTGCTGGTTAGCTGTTCACCTCTAGGACTCCGAGAAAGCGGGCAGCGGGCTATTCTTTCATGTGCTTCCAGAGCCCGGCACACAGTCAGCTCATCAGCAAACACTTACAGAATGCATGAATCTCTAAGCCATCTGGTTCAACCTCTTCTATGATTTGTGCGTTCTCATAATGTCTTTATAGTCCCTGTTCTGGTGGAAGGGTGAGTCTCCTGTCTGGGCTTTATTTTAATTAATTAATTAATTAATTAATTAATTATTTAAGTTAGAGTCTCACTTTGTCACCCAGGCTGGAGTGCAGTGGCACGCTCACGGTCACCACAGCCTTGAACTGCTGGGCTCAGGTGATTCTTATGTCTCAGCCTTTCAAGTAGCTGGGACTACAGTCATGTGCCACCATGCCTGGTTAATTTTTTGGTTTATTGTGGAGACAAGATCTTGCCAAGTTGCCCAGGCTGGTCTCTTTCTTTCTGAGTAGGAGTCTCACTCTGTCGCCCAGCCTGGAGTGCAGTGGCATGCTCACAGCCACCACAGCCTCTACATGACAGGCTCAGGCAATCATCCACCTCAGCCTTCCAAGTAGCTGGAACTACAAGTGTGCACCACCATACCTGGCTAATTTTTTGATTTATTGGAGAGACGAGGTCTTGCCAAGTTGCCCAGGCTGGTCTTGAACCCCTGTACTCAGGCAATCCTCTTGCCTCCGCTTCCCAACGTGCTGGGATTACAGGTAAGTGCCACCATGCCTGGCCGCCATCTGGACTTTAGACCCCTGGTTTAACATCCTGACACTGAACTGAGCCTTTAGAGACTATGAGAGCCAGGCTGGCCTCCTGGGGTCTGCCCCCAGTCTCATGCTCCTTGTCTGGTTTCTTCACCCATTGCTACCACCCTGGTCACTCTTTCTGGAATTCCCTTTGGCTTACCCTGCCCTTTTAAAATGAGGTGCCCTGCACGAAAGACAGCAGTAAACTTTCAAAGTCATCCAATAGGACCAAAATCAAGTATAGATCAAAATGATCCTTACAGATTCCTAGGGAAAATACCAGGTAGGATGACTGGGTGAGCTGGGACAACCAGCCTCCCACTGCAATAGAGCAGACAACTCTTGGTTTTGTTTAGTAGAGGATCAACTAGAGGAACTGGACTTGCATTTAGGGTCCCTGCTGGAGGGAAACATATGTATCTTTAAATCTCAGAATCTGCTGATTGTGGTGGTTCACATCTGTAATCTCAGCATTTTGGGAGATGGAGGTGAGAGGATTGCCTGAGTCCGGGGATTTGAGACCAGCCTGGGCAACTTGGCAAGACCTCGTTTCTACAAAAAAAAAAAAAAAAAAAAAAAAAAATTAGCTGGGCATGGTGGTGCGTACCTGTAGTCTGCTACTTGGAAGGCAGAGGTGGAAGGATTGCCTGAGCTCAGCAGGTCAAGGCTGTGGTGGCCGTGAGTGTGCTACTGCACTCCAGCCTGGGAGACAGAGACTCCTACTCACAAAAAACTCAAAAGAACAAAAACAAAAAAATCTCAGAATCCCAGGTAAGAGGCACATGGGAACAAAACTCAACTCGACCGAGGAAGAGCAGGTGAGGTCTCTCTGCTCTCATGATCACAAGGCATCCTGTGTGGGCTCACCCACACTATGTAAGTGTGTGTGTGTGTGTGTGTATGTGTGTGTGTGTGTGTGTGTGTGTGTGTGTGTGTGTGATGCAACTTCTTGAGTAGTCAGAGGCGAGGAGACTATCACCTTCCTCATTTTATGAGTTCACCCACTTACTCCATTTATTGTGTGAACGTCCTCTTCCCCCACCCCTAGTCAATATCCTCCTTTACTTCTTCATTAACTTTTAGAATTGTTTAACTTCAGAGTTTTCCAGCCTGGAGTTCATGAACCTCCGAAATTACATCAATGCTTGCATGCACACAGGCATGAGTATGGTTTTGAGCAGAGTATCTGGGCTTCAGTACCTTCCCAAATGAGTCTGAGATGCCAAAAGGTTAAGGACTATTAACTTAAGAGTTGACCACACAGGCTGCAAATAGGGCATGTTTAGAAAAGTCAGTTTATCTATTTAACTACAACCTGAAACAAAGAAGTAAAGTTATTTATAGCCACCGAGTTCTCTCTAAGCAAAAGCACTGGGAGTGTGAAGAGCCACACTGTACTCACAGGGATTCCAGCAGACAGTGAAGGAGAACACTGAAAAGGCTTTTTTTTTTTGAGTTGGAGTCTCACTCTGTCGCCCAGACTGGAGGGCAGTGGCTGCTC